AAATGGAAATAAAGTGTTTGTAAATGGGGAGGGGGGTGAAGGGAGGGCAGGAACAAGGGGAAAAATTGAGAACCAAGACCTGTCATGTAAAGGTACAAGATCCCAATGATGAATGTAATTGTACTGTATACCTGAAATGTACCAATAAACTCAATAAAAAGAAAAAAAAACTATTGGGTATTTACACATGTGTGTGTTATTTATTTCATTTGAGAATATGGCTTCAAAATGCATCCATTTTCCATGAATAATTCTAGTTTCTCGTGCATTGTAGCTGAATACTACTACATTTGATAGAAAAATCACATCTTCTTTATCCAATCTCTAACTGATGGGCAATTGGGCTGTTTCCAAGTTTTAGCTATTACAAACTCTGCCACTATAAACATAGGTGCGCATATATCATTGTGATATGATTCTTTTTTGTTGTTCTTATTTTTGTTTTTTGAGACAGGGTCTCACTATGTAGTTGAGACTGACCTGGAACTCACTATGTAGCCCAGGCTGGTCTCAAACTCACAGTGATCCTCCTGCCTCAGCCTCCCAAGTGTTGGGATTACAGGTGTGCACCACCATACCCAGACTGATTCTTTTAATTCTTTTGGAAAAATAACCAGCAGAGGGATGGATGGGTCAAATGGAACCTCTAGTCAGCTCTTTGAGGTATCTCCATATTGATTTCCATAGTGGTTGCACCAGTCTGCACTCCTACCAACAATGGAGAAGGGTTCCTTTCTCCCCACAATCCCACCAACATTTGTTATTGGTTGATTTCTTGATAGCAGCCATTCTTTGTGGGGTGAAGTGGAATCTCAGTGTTGTTTGCATCTGCATATCTTGAATGACCAGTGATGTGGAACATTTTTTCATATATTTACTTGCTGCTTTTACTTCTTTGTCTGAGAATTGTCTGTTCATTTCAGATGCCCATTTTTGAATTGGGTCTTTATATTTGGGGGCCTGATATTTTTGAGTCCTTTGTCTGAGGAGAAGCTGGTAAAAATTTTTTCCACGTTGTAGGTTGTCTTTTAGTTCTGTTGATGGTTCTTTTGCAGTGCAGAAGCTTTTTCATATGATGAGATCCTAGTTGTTGATTCTTTGTGCTAGTTCCCGTGCTACTGAGGATTTGTTCATAAAGTCTTTTCCTATGCCAATGTCTTCAAGAGTTCTGCCTAATTTATCTTCCAGCAAATGTAATGACTCTTTTCAATATTTAGATCTTTAATCCATTTGGACTTTAGTGCATGGTGAAAGATAAGGGACTAGTTTTAATCTTTGGCAGGTTGAAATCAAGTTTTTCCAATGCCTGTTATTAAAGAGGCTATCTTGCCTCCAGTGAGGATGGTTGGCTCCTTTGTCAAAGATGAGGTAGCTGAGTACATCTGGAGTTGATTTTGTATCTTCCAATCTATTCAACTGATCCTCAGGTCTGTTTCTTTGCCAGTACCATGCTGCTTTTATCACAGTGGCTTTGTAGTATAGTTTCAGATTGGGAATTGTTATACCCCCTGCCATGTCTCAGTTGCCTAGAATGGTTTTCGCTGTTCTAGGTCTCTTCTGGTTCCAAATGAATTTTTGGATTATTTTCTCTAGTTCTGTGAAATATATTGTTGGAATTTCAATCGGTATTGCATTGAATCTTTATAGAAGTTTTAGTAGCATGGCCATTTTCATGATGTTATTTCTTCCTATCCAGGAGCAGGGTATATCTTTCCATTTTCTTATATCCTCTTTAATCACTGTATTCAGAGTGCTGTAGTTCTCAGTGTAGAGGTCTTTTACTTCCTTTGTCAGATTGATTCTTAGATATTTCATTTTTTTGGATGCTATTGTGAAAGTAACTGTTTCCATAATTTCTCTCTCAGTGACTCTGTTATTTGTGTACAAGAAGGCTATTGATTTTTGAGTGTTGACTTTGTATCCAGCTACTCTACTGAATCTGTCAATTAAGTCTAGAAGCCTTTTGGCAGAGTATTTGGGTTTTCTTTACTTTTTTTTTTTTTGGTACTGGAGATTGAACTTGAGTCCTTATGCTTGCAAGGCAGGCCACCAAATCGCTGAGCTAAATCCCCGGCCCGGGTCTTCTATGCATAGTATCATATCATTAGCAAATAATGACAGTTTAACTTCTTCCTTTCCTATCTTTATTGCTTTAATTTCTTTCTCTTGTCTAATTGCTGTGGCTGTTTCCAGAACTGTATCAAAGAGGAGTGGTGATAGTGGGCATCCTTATCTTTTTCCTCATTTTAACTTGAAAGTTTTCAGTTTTCGGCCTCTTAATATGATGTTGGCTGTGGGTTTTTCATGGGTAGCCTTTATCAAGTTGAGATAAAGATCATCTATTCCAATTTTCTGCAGGGTTTTTATCATGAATGGGTGTTGAATCTGTTGAATGCTTTTTCTGCATCGATTGAGATGATAGTATGATTATTTTCCTTGACTCTTAATAGAGTGTATTATATTTATTGATTTAAACATGTTGAACCATCCTTGCATCCCTGGAATATATCTGACTTGGTCAGGGTGTATGATCTTCTTGATGATCCTCTGTATTCTGTTTGCCAGTATCTTATTGAGGATTTTTGCATCCATGTTCATTAAAGAGATTGGCCTATAGTTTTCTTTTTTGGTTGGGTCTTTTCCTGGTTTGGGAATCAAAGTAACACTGGCTTCCAGAATGAATTTGGAAGTATTGCTTCCCTTTCAATTTCATTGAAAAGTTTAAAGAGTAGTGGCAGTAGTTCTCTAAATTCCTATAAAATTCTGCAGTGAACCCATCAGGACCTGGGCTTTTCTTTGTTGGTAAACTTTTAATTACATTTTGAATTTCCCTGATTGTAATTGGAGCAGTTAGAATTTGTTATCTTCTTTGTTAATTTAACTTTGGTAATTTATAAGTATCTAGAAATCTGTCCATTTCTTCTGTGTTTTCCATTTCATTAGAGTAGAGGTTCTCAAAATAGAAAATGATGATCCTTTGGATTTCTGGTGATCTGTTGTGACCTCATGTTTTTCATTCTTAATTGCATGGATCTGAGCCTTTTCTTTCCTTTTTTTTTTTTGACAAGGTTGGCTATGGGTTGTCAATTTTATTTATTCTTTCAAAAAAATCAACTCCAATTCATTGATTTTTTTGTATTGTCTTCTTAGTTTCCATTGCATTGATTTCTGCTCTAATCTTTATAATTTTCTCCTTTGTACAAACTTTGGGTTTTTCTTGCTCTTCTTTTTCTAGGAGGCTAAGATTCATTATTAGGTTGTTTATTTGAGCTTGCTCTGTTTTCCTAGTGTGGGCATTCACTACTATGGATTTTTCCACATAGAACTGCTTTCATTGTGTCCCATAGATTCCTGTATGTTGTAATGGCATTATCATTTATTTGTAAAAACTGTCTAATCTCTTCTTCAATTTCCTCTGTGATCCATTGATTGTTCAGGAGAGTGTTATTCAATTTCCATGTGTTTGTAAAGTTCTTGCAGTTTCTTATGCTATTTATCTCCAGTTTAATTGCACTGTGATTTGATAATATACAGGGGATAACTTTGATTCCTTTGCACTTATTCAAACCTGTTCTGTGAGCTAGTATGTGCTCTATTTTGGAGAATGACCCATGTACAGCTGAAAAGAATGTATATTTTGATTTTGTGGGGTGGAAAACTCTATAGACATCTATTAAGTCCTTATGTTCAAAAGCTTGGTTCAAATCTAGTATTTTGTTGTTGATTTTTTGTCTAGATGATCTGTCTATTTGTGATAATGGAGTATTAAGGTCCCCCGCTACAATTGTAGTAGTGCTTATTTGGTTTTTCATGTTACTTAGTATTTGTTTTATATAGTTGGGGGCATTTATATTTGGTGCATATATGTTTATGATTGTCATCTCTTCCTGTTGAATTTTTCCCTTTACAAGGATGTAGTGGCCTTCTTTGGAAATATTTAGATTAGCAAAAATCCTTTTCTAATGCTTCAAAATATCCCTAGAGGATGACTGTAGACAAGTTGGGACAATAGTGGGTATTCATGAGGATGTCCTTGAGTTGTGAAGGAAAGGCTAAGTTATACACACAATGTGTTCTGCGTGAAGAGGCAGGGATGTCTATGGTCCATTAACACATCTTCACTACAATGGGAAGAGAACAATCTTAAAATCATTTTGGGTGCTTAAAGCAGTCCTTAGCTCTTTCTACAATGAGTCAGTCCACAGGAATTCCAGAAAGTTGATGTTTTGTCACAGGGGCTAAGAGATGTGGGCTGGGTAGCCACACACACCAGACTGTACTGGCTCACAGGAAGAGGTGCTCCCCACCATGTGCAGTAAGTGAGGCTCTCAGGCTCTGTGGCACATCTTTCTTCTATAAACAACTTCCTTTGCTTCCTTGTTTTGGACCCTGCTATTTCTCTCAAGCATAAACCTAGACCTTTCTGGATGAGAATCAGAATGAGTCTGCCTCTGAGATATAAACCAAACACTGGAAGATTTTTCTAACAGATTTTCCTTTGGTTTAAAAATCTGAAACTCAAGTGTTCCTCTGACCCTTTCTTTGCCATGACTGTGCAAACATAAAAATATGAGATGCCAGAATGCCACTGTCCAAAGCACCCTCAGTGTTGGTTGAACAATACATTTTCTAGTTTCATTCTCTGGAGGTCTGTACCTTCACAATATTAGGCAATTCACTTTCTGAGCTTTAATTTTCTCATTTGTAACTTGAATGGGGACATTTTCCTGGGAACCCCACAGGATTAACATGCAGTCTTGGAATAATGTTTTAAAAATAGGTAAAATGTGTTGAATACTTACTATGTTATTTCAGGTACCATGTGATAGATAGATTTCACATCTACTGTGTTTTTAATCCTTACATTAATACCTGGAAATCAACTTTTTTTTTTGGGGGGGTGCCAGGGATCGAACTCAGGACCTTGAGCTTGCTAGGCAGATGATGGAACCACTGAGCTAAATTTCTGGCCTAACATTTTTATTATCCATATTTTACAGAAGATGAATCTTCAGCTGAGAGGTGACTAGATCAAGATTTCCATGATCAAGATTTCCAAGAATTGGTGAAGGTTGAATAAGAAGAGAGGTCTTTTGACTACAGAAATTAAATAAAATAATGCTTATAAAAGTATACTGTAAAGGTTTAAATCTATAAAGGTTTATAGAAATACAAGAGATTTATAGTATTTCTAAAATTATTTCACAGAACCGCAATATAATCCCTTTCCTACTTTCATCTTTCTAAGTCAGCTTTCAACTTTTTGATGTTTATAAGTTCTCTTGCTGCTTTTTCTGATAGTGCTGGATCACAGGCATACTTAGCTACACATTGGACCTTGGAAATCATGTTGGATTTTTGCCCTCTTCTCTTCTCTTCTCTTCTCTTCTCTTCTCTTCTCTTCTCTTCTCTTCTCTTCTCTTCTCTTCTCTCTTCCTCCTTTTCCTTCCCTTCCCTTCCCCTACCTTACCATTTCCCCATTTCCCCCTCCCCCTTCCCCCTTCCCTTCCCTTCGCTTCTCCTCTTCTCCCTCTCCCTCTCCCTCTCCCTCTCTCACCTGGGAGTTGAACTACATCCTCAGCACTTAATTTTTTTTCTCAGACAAGTTCTCATTAAGTTGCTAAATTGCCTGTGCTGGGCTTGAATTTGTAACCCTCCTGCCTCAGTCTCCCAGAGTACTGGTGTTACAGGTATGTGCTTCCATGCCTGGCTTGTTCTTGAATCTTTGACATCATTGGTAATTGCTACATCATTAATATTGTTGTGTGGTCTCACTGAAGAGAGACATATTCCCTTAAATCTTTGATAAGAGAACATCCAAAATGTTTGCTCATTTACATCATTTCCCAGGAGAATTCAGCCACTTTGTTTCTAGGATTGGATTGGCAGGAATAATACATCCCACAAATTTCCAATGGCTGCTATTTTTCTCTTTCCTGAGTAAGAATTCCCCTTCAGGATGACCATTTCAGATTGAAAACTGCCGTATGGTGTGGGGCTTGCTGCCGATCTAATCTCTGACACTCAGAGGAGGAAGAGCCATGCTTATGGGGGCTTCTAAGGTCTAATTGAATAGTTGTAGGATTTGTGAAGACTTTTTTTTCCCATCTCTAGACAATCTCTTTAATGTATGTTTCCATTAGTGCACTTTACCCAAGCAGAAAAACAAAACAAAACAACACAAAAAGCTCAGCATCAGGTTTCTTCTTGGCTATTGCCTGTTTCTTTCCCATGGTCAGTTCTAGTCATCCTTGCCCTGATGTGTGACTCAGTCTAAGAGTGTCTATGTTATCCAAGTTTATCCAGCTTGTAAACAGAAATTCTTTTTTTTTTTCCTGACTCTGTTTCATACAGATTATCCCAAACTCCTAGCATGGTTCCATATTAGAGTCCAGAGCCAAAGTGTTTGCAATCAAATACATGATCTTGTTTCTTCTTTCATTCCTTTTTCACTTCTACTCATTAAAACCTCTAATTATATTACTCCTTTACCAGCTGTCAACCATGTAAGCCTCTGGCAAGAAAGAATCTGACAGCCACGACCAATTTCTGTTGCAATCCCACCATCTTGAGTGGATTTTATCAGCTTTACATCTGCACCATTTCCCTTCCCAATTACCACCTCCAAGTTCTGCTCTCTTCTCCCTTACTTTCAGAAATAGTCCGAAAGGGCTAGTGGTGATTTCACAGCTGGAACCAAGGAAGAAAACAAGGTATTCAGGATGATAGCATTACATTCCCTCTAATCAATAATTCATTTTTAACCAGAGTGTTTGAGAAAATTGAGACTTGGCCTTAAATAGTTCCTCACAAGCAGAAGAAAATGAGCAGAAGTCTCAAGCAAAATCTAATTCAGGGCATGTATCAAACAAAACAAAAACATCTCAGAGAGCGATGAAGACTGTGTAAACTTATTTATGATTCAATAGGATTGCTTTTGCAAGATGCAAAGCATGGCTCATGTTTTATTTTGAAATGTATCTGTATTGCACAAACACAGCAGTGATAGCTTTGACTTGTTGTAATGTATGAATGAAAGTACCCAAAATTTTTACATAATTGGAATCCTGCAGTGTAAAGTAGGGCAAAGCCAGTAAGGCAATAAGGCTCTTTACCACAGCAAATAAAATGCCCAGCAAAGAAAACTACTGCCCACTCACATGAGGATAGTTTCTGTCTTCCTGTCTAGCAGTTCACAAGGATAGAAATATCAGGGATTTTGGATAGCCATCTTCAAAGATCTAGGGCATCCATATGATTACGATGTGCCCTCCACCACCTTCCAAAATGTACCTTTTGTTCTTATGCTTTCTATGCTTCTATTTCTTGCCCCTACCCCAAGCCCTGTATTTTATTTTCATTGCACTCATAGGGGATTAGTCATTAAACTTTGGCTTCTTCATGTCCTCCCTTTCACAGAAAACATCCCAGCAGTCCTCATGAGTGAGGCTCACCAGCTTCCCCAGTTATTCCAGTGCCCCATGTCAAGATGGAGGCCAGTCTGATCTCAGGTGCTGAAGAGCCCTGAAGGCTGACTGATGTGATCCAACTTCCTCTTTAAATCCTTTCCATCTGGATCCCACAACCTCTCCTGTCCATCTTGACTGTGGAGGTTCACTTTCTTCATTTACTCCTAACGCACATCACACACACACACACACACACACACACACACACACAATCACACACAAACATGGAGAATTCCACACCTGATCTCATGTGATGGGTGCCAGGCAAATGCTGGCAGTCTACTAAACTTGCTGGAAGATAAGTTAGGTATAACTCTGGAAGACATTGCATAGGAAAAGACTTTATGAACAAATCCTCAGTAGCATGGGAATTAGCAGAAAGAATCAACAAGTGAGATCTCATCTTATTAAAAAGCTTCTGCACTGCAAAAGAAACAATCAACAAAACTAAGAGACAACCTATAATGGGGGGAAAAACTTTTTACCAGCTACTCCTCAGACAAAGGACTATTATCTAGAATATATAAAGAACTCAAAACAATCAGCATCCCCCCAAATTTAAGACCCAATTCAAAAATGGGCATCTGAAATGAACAGACATTTCTCAGACAAAGAAATAAAAGCAGCAACGAAATATATGAAAAAATGTTTCACATCACTGGTCATTCGAGAGATGCAGATGAAAACAACACTGAGATTTCACCTCACCCCACGAAGAATGGCTGCTATCAAGAAATCACTCAATAACAAATGTTGGCAGGGTTAGGGGGAGAAAGGAACCCTTCTCCATTGTTGGTGGGAGTGCAGACTGGAGCAACCACTATGGAAATCAATATGGAGATACCTCAAAGAACTAGGATTAGAGGCTCCATTTGACCCAGCCATCCCTCTGCTGGGTTTCTTTCCAAAAGAATTAAAAGAATCATACCACAGTGATATATGCACACTCATGTTTATAGCAGCAGCTTGTAATAGCTAAAACTTGGAAATAGCCCACCTGCCCATCAGCTGGAAACTGGATAAAGAAAATGTGGTTTTTCTATAAAATGGAATACTACTCAGCCATAAATAATGAGAAAGTAGTTTCATTCATAGGTAAATGGGTACATTTTGAGGATATACTCCTGAGTGAAATAAATAAGTCACACATGTGTAAATACTGAATAGTTTCTCTGGTGTGAAAAACTAAAATAGTACTCAAGATCCTAATGGGTTAATTAGCAAAGTGAAACAGGAAGGAAAGGACTAAAGGTGTAAGGGCAGTGAAAAGGGTAGGGGAAGGGGAATAAGGGAGAGGGAAAAAATATGAGAAAATGTAAAAATGGAATTAAAGTGTTTGTAGGTTGGGAGGGGAGAAGGGGGTGAAGGGAGAGTGGGAACAAGGGGAAAAAATGAGAACCAAGGCCTGGCATGTAAAGGTAGAAGATCCCAGTAATGAATGTAACTGTACTGTATACATAGAATGTACCAATAAATTCAATTAAAAAATTCAGGCAGTCTAAACATACTGTATAAAATTATCTTCCTGCTCTGTTTACAAGGTGTATAAGAGACATACACACATTTTGTGATTACACTTGGATCTCATCCCTGAGCTATCTCACTTTGAATTTGCATACCCCCAAATCCAAAAATATCTGAAATCTGAAACCCTTTTGGTCCAAATGTTTCAGATAAGGGATATTCAACCTACATATAATGTATTTAGAAGGCTTTGCCAGGTAGTGTCAGCTTTTCTTCTTGGTTTCTTCTCTTTTTGTTCTTTCATCTCTCTTTGAGTCCACACTTAAGGACTCATGTAGGCACATTTTCTTATAGAAAATATCTGCTATGCACTAACATTGTCACTTTATAGTCAATTTTCAAAAATCTCTCTGCAAATATAGACAGAGATCAGAGCAAAAAGTTCAGGAAACAACTAGAATCTGGGAATGTAGCCCAGATGGGAATGGGGATGGGAGGAACAGGTGAAGGACACCTTTTGGACACCCACCCTTCCCAAAGCTCTCCTCTCATATAGCTGTTACTCCACACTGCAGCTTTGAGAGCCCTGCCACCTGCACCCCTCTGCAGTGCTAACTCCACCTTAACATTCCTCCTGCCAAAATTAAAGGCCTTCTTAAAAACAAATGCAGGGTAATTTTCACAGTAGGGGAAAGATTAATTAATTATGCTTCTATTGACATATAATGCCTCCAGGGATAAATATTTCTTTAATTATGCCCCTCGGGGAAGTAGTTTCTAAAACAAGCTCTTGTTTATGAAATAGAAAATTTATAGACCAGCAAGATTCTCTTACTGATGACCATAAGGATGGCCTGACGTGTTAGTGAAACAACACAAGATGAAAGTAAAAAAATCAAGTTTGGAAGTTTGGAAGTAGAGAGAGTGAATATATCAGTGTTTAATCTAAAGTGTGCTTCACACATTTACCTGGGCAGGACACTCAGATATCACTCCTCTTTGTTGCCACTGGATTCCCTGGCCATGAGTTCTCTCTGCAGGATCATGAGTTAGGAATTTAGTTAGAGGAAAAGATTATGGAATTTTCTCACAGGGAGAAAAAGATCTGATATCAAAGATTATATATTCTAAGCTTTAAATAGTGTTCTACTATTGGTGACACAGTTGT